TTTATGTTACTCTTTGCTAGGGCTGCCAATCAATTAAAATCTTTAACTGAGTTAATTTAATTTATAATATATTTTTATTTTAATATGTACATGTAATATATGTATATGTAAGATAAAATTTTACATTATTTTGCCAGATGAAAGCATTGAATAGGCATTACAAAAAGTAGCTTTACAGGTCAAAATATTATTTGTTTTATTTCCATATCAATGAACATAAGCCTGTCACTGGCCTATAGTAAATTTAGATTGCTATGATGATAGGAAAATCCCTCATTATGGGTCAGGGAGTATCCTTAATGTTGTTATGCATTTTTAAAGTATAACTGATTAATAGCTAATTTTTTTTTTTTTTTTACATGGACATACAATTACTTTGGACGAACCATATGCATTTGTTTAAGTATTTTAGCACAAATGCTAATTTTCAACACCTGTCCACGGGAGGCTTTTGGAAATAAAATACAATAACAAGACTAGTAAGCAAAATAATACTAAAAATACTAACAGAGAAGGATAGCTGAAATATACCATATAATTACAGAAAAAAAAAAAAAAATTGCATACATAAATTATAAAGCAGAAGCATCAGAGTCAGAGATTAGTTATTCATGCGAGCACTGCTGTTTAGTTTTAGCCATTGTTTAAGTCCTCTGTTAAAAGCTTTGCCATCGGTCTCTAGTTTTAAATCAGTAGGCAAAGCATTCCAGAGTTTTGGCCCCTTTACTGAGAAGCCAGACTGACCAAAGGAGGTCTTACACTTTGGGACTAAACAGTCACCTCTGATAGTGGCTCGTGTGTTCGCCCCCTGAGAGCTTTGGCGTATACTGATTAATATAGAAAACTGCAGTGAAACATGATTATTTAGACATTTGAAAGCCAATTTAATATAATTAAAATCAATAAAACTGTCAAAACCAAGAAGCTTATGCTTTCTTAGAACATCACAATGATGCCATCTCATGAGTTTCCGGTCCATTATTTTTATTGCCTGTTTGTAGAGTGAGAGAATCGGTATTAATTTATTTGGTGAGATTTGTGACCATGATGTGACGCAATATGATAGGTGTGAAAATATCATTGCATGCATATAGTTTTGCAGTGTGACAGGACAAATCCCTTCTTATAAACCGAAAACAATTTATATTTGGTCTGACCTTCTTGCAGATGTACTTAACATGATTATCAAATTTTTAATTTGTATTCAGAATAATCCCAAGGTACTTGACTTCATTGACTGCTTCTATTGCTTCATTTTTTATTTGTACCTCAAACATATCGCTAACCGGCCTATTTCGTATAGAGCAACACATGGAGACTGTTTTCTTAACATTTAGCGATAGATGAGATAACTCGAGCCAGTTAGAGATATTCTTTAATGCTGTTGTCAGGTGTTCACCTGCCAGACTGGGTGTTTTAGTGGAAACATGGACCACAGTGTCGTCTGCATACATCTGACAGTTTACGCCTGGACAGCATTTTGGTAGGTCATTTATATACATTGTGAACAGCAAAGGGGCAAGTACAGACCCTTGCGGTACTCCCATGTTGTTGGCTTGCAGAGGTGACTTTACCCCATTGACTCTGACACATTGCTGTCTCCTGCCCAAATAAGACCTAAACCACTGCAAAGCTTCTGAAGACATTTTAAATTGATTTAATTTATGTAGCAAGATACTATGATTTACAGTGTCAAAGGCCTTCTTTAGGTCCAGGAACACTGCCCCAACAACATTTCCTTTATCCAGTGATTCTTTAATTTTATTGATCAAATAACAGTTAGCTGTTTCGGTGGAATATTTGTCTCTAAATCCAAACTGTAATGGATAAAGCAACTGATTAGACTCTAAATGTTCCGCTAATTGCTCGGCGACAATCTTTTCCAGAACTTTTGAGACTAGGAAGGATAGCAATAGGCCTGTAATTGCTTGATATTTCCTTATCCCCCGATTTGTAGACCGGGGGATTAAATTAACATGTTAAATTGAAAGCCCTGCTTTTCACACTTTGGAAGCACATCTTTAAAAAAGAAAATCTGCCAGCAGAAAAATAAGTGGTAGATGTTTAGTTTGCTGCATTAACTTTCTATATGATAGATGGTAAAGTGTGTGCAGCATGTGGGTGGAACAGTTGGAGCAGTGTTAGGATGGAGAGAAGCATGTGATGAGACAATGTAGCTCTACTGTTACTCACACAGTAACACTCTCACTGAGAAGTTGAAAGGCTACTGACAGAGGCGCTGACATGTTCTGTGGGTAAAAATAAAACATAACACACTAACACACGATACACCCAGACATGTTTGTGAAAGTCAGCAGATCACAATGGATTACATCAGACCATGCAACATACAACAGTGCAAGAATGTGCAAATCTCCTGGTATTATTGAAACATGTCAAAAACTTATGCTCCACAGACTTGTGGAATGAACAGCTATACCCGGAGAACATTTGATTTAAAGAGACAGGCAGTCAGGGCTGTCAGCTAAAGGGGAACAGGACTAGGAGCTGTTAATTAGGTAGTGGATGGGGGCACATATTTATCACTCCTGCCCTTCTGCTCTCACTCGGTCTCTGTTTTTTTTTTAATCAGTCTCTCTCTCTGTTTTATTCATGTAGACAGACAACGGATATATACCCGCTTGGCAGCCAGGCAAAACCACAAAATGTCATCTTTATCAACAACTAACTAATTAACAGGACACAAGACTAAGAATGGCACATCCATTTAAGTAGCAATAAACATTTGCAATGCTAAGATTTGGAATTATCAGTCTGTGAAAGATCGTGGTCAAGATGTTCTCAAATAGCTTCATGTAAGCAGAGCCAGTTCACCAGTTACACTATGCAGGCTGTTAAAACTGACACATCTTGAATGAGAATCGAACAGACTGGTTCTCCTGGCTCACTGGCTAGTATGCCTGCCTTTCTTAGCAGGCTTGTTCTGTGAACAGCACTGACTGCTGTCATAGCCATGAGTTGCATTTTCTCCTAGCAAAAGGTGCGATATACTTTGCTTACACTCAGTGGGTTTTTGAGTTGGGGGTTCTGTTACTGTATAAGTAATCCAGCTCAATGCAAGACTCAACCTCATATGTATTCTCATATTCAGGATTTGGGGACCAAATGTATAGGAATTTAAGGATATGGTTCCACAAATATGGTTGTCACATTACTTTTTAAAGGGGTCATATAATGGTACATGCACTTTTTCAAGTTGATTGTACTGAAATGTGTGTTGGCAGTGCCTGTACACAACCATCATATAATGATAAAAATCTATCCAGTGTTTTTGTTTTAATCTCCTTATATGTTTTGATATATATCAAATATATATTTTGATATATATTGAGGAATATTCCCCACAATCAACGTCAATGCTTTCATGTTTGCGTGATTCGCGAATCTTTTCTCACCAGACTGCTTTATAAACGAGGATCAGTATAAAGCTGGTTTTGCTAAGAAGCTGCTCCTGAAAAAAGAATCGGTACCAACTATTCATGTCCCTGCTGCACCTCCAGAAGAAGTGAGTGTAAAGTTTTATTAACCTTTATATTAATCTTTGTAAATCGCTTGCACGCTTCACGATGAATGCGGCTAAGGTTTACACTCAGGGTACATTACGTCATGTTTTCTATGTACGACGTTCTCAATATAATTCATAATCCCACGTTTATAATGAACAACGCGTTTTGGTTATTGTCAAACTGAGTACGTATACATCAGTAAACACATAGCGTTCGTACATCTCACTAAGTTACTCTACCCTGCCAGTACACAAAGATAGATCAAAGTGACATTGTTAACCAACCATTCAGAAACATCCTGTTCAAGCCTTAATTGTCGAAATTCTTTGCGGCCGTCATCTTGTTCCGGGTCCGACTCCGGTACAAGCTGATACGGTTGCACAGATGTGTCCTCAGAGACTCCCGCTGCCATTCTTTCTCCAAAATATACCCTCAACTGTTGTCAAGGCAACACTGCACGTGCGTTGTGTCATATAAGGAGATTAAAACAAAAACACTGGATGGATTTTTATCATTATATGATGGTTGTGTACAGGCACTGCCAACACACATTTCAGTACAATCAACTTGAAAAAGTGCATGTACCATTATATAACCCCTTTAATCAATAAGCAAATACAAGTTTATCAATTACTACAAACCAAATGTTACTAAACCAGATACTAAGTGAAAGCTTATTTACACAAAATTTGAAACCTTGTTATTCTTTTTATTTTTTTATTCTAATTTTGCTGTTCATTTAATACTTTTGCAAGAATGTCAAAAATCACAAAAATAAGGGTTTAAAACTGTATTTAGACGTATTGATAACTCCATAGAAAGAGAGAGAGAGAGAGAGAGAGAGAGAGAGAGAGAGAGAGAGAGAGAGAGAGAGAGAGAGAGAGAGAGAGAGAGAGAGAGATGTGGAAAGGGTACAAATAATATGTGTTTCTAAATAGACTACTAACTATTAAATTGCATACCGAATTTATAGGTCATGAAAACATCTGAATAAACAAAACTAGATAAAGAATTGGCATGTTTTTCACACCATGAAGGAGCAATGATCATGTCACTGAAATCCCTTGCACGTTAAAAAAACAGTAAGAATATTTACAAAGTATTTACATATCCCATAATCATCATTGCCCACAAGGCAGTTGCTACAATATGAATCGCAGACTTTACTAAGATGTTACCAAGTAACATTAACGCTCTAATAACGAGGTAATTACTGTAAATAGCACCTGCGCTTCACCCGTCTTTCTAATACCCCTTTCACACTGACTGGGAAAACAACGGTGTTTACTGCAGCACGGATGAGCCCTGAAGTAGCCTAGAATCTATCACACAGTACTTATCTCTTAGCCTAATATAATACAATAATTATTATTTTAAAACATTTTAAATTGGACGAATATCCATAACTCTTTATACACCGACCAAAAACTAAAAGAACAAATCCCAAAAATTGCTCTTTGCAAAGTTTCCTACCTTAAAACAAGATTTGTCGGCCAACTTGGTCCTTACAATTGGTTATATGACAAACTGAAGACTCTTCGTGGAGATATTTTTCAACTTAATTTACAGGTTAGATAGTTTTTCCTGGACAAGCTGTTGGTTGCGCGCTCCGGAGATGCCGCAGGAAAAGCGCGTGGTGGCTTGACTCGGCGAGCGAGAGAGAAACTCATATCTGTGGAGTCCTGAACATTACATTACTCAATGCTCCATCACTCCGCTCCTGTAACCAGGTAACGGCTCTTCCGCAAGCTCAAGCTAAAGGTAGGCGTTGATATAAATCACTCCGGTACCCGTCAGCTTGTGCGTGCGTGTGCGTGTGTGTGCGTGTGCGTGCGCGCGCGTCCGTGTGTTTTAGAGGTTTGTTCGTTGTTGGTTTTAAATTATGTTTTATTAACAAAGTTCGGGAGGAGCACGTTCAGTTAATTAACACGAATGGAGTGCACTCAGCAATCAATGATAAGAGGTGTATAGATTCAGCAATCAGCTCACTCCATTGATTAGGGTACAATAATTAGGGTTAATTAATTATGAAATTATTAGGGAATAATTAGGGTGCAATACTGCTGTACAGATTGTTTCCAAATAATGATCCCAGATGAGAATAATTCGTCATATGTTCCCTTCAGGGAAGGGCACATTGACTGTTGATATTTAGTTTGATAGACCAATATGACATCATAAGTAGGCTACACTTTTGAATAGCCTATAGGCTACTGACCAGGTTTACATGCACATCATTTTCCATGTTTTGAATACGGTTTACATGCACATTACACAAAATCTGTCAAGAATAAACACTTTAAAACAGATTGCCATTTCAGGTAAAGCAAAAATAGCCATGTGCCTTTTTTGTATACTTTTTTTGGGACATTAATACGGAAGCGTATTGCATTCACTTGAGGGAAAAAAAATCGACTCTGTTTTTCTGAATTAACGAGTTAATTATCTCAGAATTACGAGATCATTTTTCATGGAAAAAAAGAGTTCTCTTTCATAGGTCCACTCAACGCTGCGGAAAGCGCAGTGGGATATCCTCTGGATGTGCCGATTGCCTGAAGCCCTATAGAATCACGCCAATTCATTGGCTGATGGTGCTCGCGCAAAGCTGGCTCCGCCCCGACGCTCTTACTTCGTAGCATGATGAACGCGCGCGCGCCATCCTCTCCTCAGATTTCTCTGCCTTCACGAAGCTTTTGTATTGTATCTGTTCCGGTTCTTATTATTATTCTTCTTCTTCTTCTTCTTCTTCCGACTGGGCGTCTATGGCAGCCCATAGAACCGTATCCGGGAAAGTTGTTCCGGTTTGACATTCTGATAGAGGACAGTCCCAACAGTAATTGCACCAATTTTGGTGTCTCTAACTCATTGCCTCTAGCGCCACCACCTGTCCAAAATTTCAAAATCATTATGCTAATAACTTTTGAACTGTAAGGCCTATCAACAAAATTCTTTTTTCCTCTGATTCACATCTTGCCCTTCGTTTGTTTTTTTCTGAGCCCGAATTCTAAATTCAACTACAGCTTTAGTCTCGACACTTCAGCGACTGGTATATGTGGAACTCTGTTCTCCTTACAGTGAAGTGTCATGGATTATCGACGCTGCTCTCCGCCATGCTTTCGTTTTATTTCGAACGACAACCCTCACAGTAAGTGTGTTAAATGTATGGGTTTTTCGCATGCGCGTGAGGCTGTATTAGGATTGTCAAAATGTAAATTTTGTGACAATCACCTTCTCAAAACCCTCCGCTCTAGACTCGTGGTTTTTGAGAAGGAGTCATTCGTTCCCCCCCTTCGCGCTCCCGAGACTGCTGAGGCCTCTCGTGGATCCGCGGCCTGGGGCTCGGATGTTGAGCTCGAGGATATTGAGTACGAGCAGACGGGCCTCGCCCTTTCTCTCCCTCCCTCTCCCGAGCACGCACGTGGTGCGGTTGAATTCGCGCATGATTATTTATGCCCCAGCCCGGGAGCCCGCGAATCGGTTTCTTTCGGTCTGGATAACGTGATTTACACTGCAGCTTCCGACTCCGAGGATTTCGGGCCTGCTTTGACTGATGACGTTATCCCGCCTAGCGGCCAGGACGCGCGGCCTACTCCGGCCTACACTGAACTTATTGACGTGCTATCGCGCGCTACAGAGAAGCTCTCTATTGACTGGCCTGATGAGCCCCGCGAGTCTCAATCGTCCAAACTCGACGAGAGGTTCCTACGTGGCCCTAATTCTAGGCCAGAGCGAAGGAAGCTACCCTTTTTCAGTGATCTGCATCACGAGATCTCCAGATCCTGGAAGCAGCCTTTCTCCGCACGCCTAACCCGTCGTCTGCACCGTCCTGGAAGTCGCGTCCCCTTCTTCCTTCCAAGGATTGTAGGACTACTTCCTCCCTTATTGGGAAGTCTTACATGGCGGCTGGTCAAGCAGGCATGGCCCTGCATACCATGGCCATCCTTCAAGCCTACCAAGCGCACGTCTTGAAGGACATGGATGAAGGAGAGGGACTGACGCCCAAAGCTGTCAAAGAGCTTCGCAAAGCCACAGATCTGGCCCTAAGGGCCACCAAACACACTGCTCGGGCTGTAGGTCGCTCTATGGCGGGCTCGGTTGCCGCAGAGCGCCACCTCTGGTTGAATCTCACGGAGATCCGAGACAAGGATAAGAGTTTCCTCCTGGATGCCCCTATCTCCCACTCAGGTCTTTTCGGGGAGGCGGTCAACACGGTGGTTGAGAAGTTCCGTGCCGCTAAGTCTCAGTCGGCCATGTTCAGGCAGTTTATATCCAGGAGGGTTAGAGAGCCAAGAGACTCCAACCCTCCCCCTTCAAAACAAACCCGAGAACGCTCTGCTCATAGGGCTTAATTCCCTACTAGCAGGAGTGACCCGGCTCACCACCCACCAACTACGGTCTGGGGAGCCCGAGGTCGTCCATTTCCCCGCCAGCGCCCTCACAAGCGCCTTCAGCTGAAGCGGTCCAACAAATCGGCCGCTCCAGCCTCCTCGAGCCGTTCCTGACCCAAAGGAGGAGAGCCTCACCAGATCTACGAGGTTGGGACAGACCGCGCAAGCGTTTCTGCCCTCCTCCAACTGGCTCTCCTCCTCCAACCCTGTCACCTTCGCCACCCAGTGTGTTTTGAAGTGCAGGTCCTGTTTCACTCTCTTCACCCAGTCCGGCGCAGGAGGAAGGAGACGCGTCTTGCTTTCTCCCCTCGCTCCCGGTGCACGTTACACCCGCCAATCGCTTCCTCGGAGGCACAGTTCGTTTTCCTCTGGAGCAGGCGGACCCAGTTACGTCTATCCAGGTGGTGGTACCCCCCAGTATGTGTCAGGACGCCAAGCGCTCTCCTCCACGGTCAACTACGCCTCCCCATGGGAGCCAGCGCGACACCCTACCTCAGGTATGTCCCTTGCACTGCAACACTCCTCTCCCTCTATCTCATTTCGTTCAAGAATGGGAGCGTTTACCAGGGGTATCGCCTTGGATCCTTCGCACAGTTCGGCTCGGCTACACGCTTCAGTTTTGTCGCAACCCCCCCTGCTTCAACGGGGTCTTTCCTACTGTAGTCGACAGCGCCGCTCAGGCTTCTGTACTACAGCAGGAGATTTCATCCCTTCTGCTGAAGGGGGCGATAGAAGAGATTCCTTCGGGGGAAGTCGAACAGGGCTTCTACAGCCGTTACTTCCTGGTCCCGAAGAAGGGAGGCGGCCTGCGGCTGATACTAGATCTTCGCCGGTTGAATTTCTCTCTTTACAAAGGGAAATTCAAAATGTTGACGCTGAAGGCCATCATATCTCATATCCGGCTGGGGGACTGGTTCGTGACAGTAGACCTCAAGGATGCTTATTTCCACATCCAGGTCATACGGCGACACAGGAAGTTTCTCAGGTTCGCCTTTGGAGAAAAAGCGTACCAGTACAGGGTCCACCCCTTTGGCCTCGCTCTAGCGCCAAGGACGTTCACAAAGTGTATGGATGCTGCTCTGGCCCCGCTGCGGCTCCAGGGCATCCATATACTCAACTACCTGGACGATTGGCTCCTTTTAGCCCACTCCAGAGAGTTGGTGACTCACCACAGGGACATTGTCCTCCGTCATATTCAGTTTCTCGGTTTGAGGTTGAATACGGAGAAGAGCGTTCTTACTCCAGCTCAGAGCACGGTTTTCTTGGGGGTACGCATGGACTCTGTTCTTATGCAGGCCCGTTTGGCTCCTGCACGGATTTCCAGTCTGGTGACATGTCTGTCCCGCTTTGCGCTAGGCCAGCATGTTTCCGTGAGCACCTGCCTCAGACTTCTGGGCCTTATGGACGCGGCCTCCCCTGTGCTACCTCTATGCCTTCCCCACGGGGCCAGCCCTTCGTCTATTGAAGGTGTCGCGCAGTTGCTTTCGCGCCCTGTCAATCTGGCGGGACCCCCTCTTCCTTCAGAAAGGAGTCGGTATGGGTGCGGTATTCTGTCGCCAGATGGTTACGACGGATGCCTCTCTGACCGGCTGGGGAGCGGTTTTCGAGGGCAGGCCAGCGTGTGGGGTTTGGACTGGCGAGACCCTCTCGTGGCACATAAACAGCTTGGAGCTGAGGGCTGTCTTCCTGGCTCTTTGCCACTTTCTCCCTTTCCTCGAAGGACACCATGTCAGTGTCAGAACGGACAATATGGCAGTAGTGTCCCATGTAAACAGACAGGGGGGTTCACGATCGCGCATCCTAGACAGGCATGCGCGTCACCTTCTCCTGTGGTCCCAGGACAAGTTCCTCTCTCTGAGAGCAGTTCATGTCCCAGGGATTCTGAACCTCGCAGCAGATTTCCTGTCGAGGCAGAAACTCAGGTCTGGGGAATGGATGTTGAACCGCCAGACAGTGGCCCTGATCTGGGAGGTGTTCGGGAAAGCGGAAGTGGACTTCTTTGCATCTCAGGAGTCGTCCCAATGCCCGCTTTGGTTCTCTCTGAGCCCTCCAGCTCCGTTGGGGATAGATGCGTTCGCCCACCCTTGGCCGATGCAGAAACTCTATGCCTTCCCGCCCATCAAGCTGATCCAGGCGGTTCTGTCCAGAGTGAGGGAGAGCGGAGTCCGCCTTCTTCTGGTAGCCCCATTCTGGCCGTCCCAGCCATGGTTTTCGGAGCTTATCCCTCTGTTGGAATCCTCCCCCTGGGAGATCCCGGTCAGGGAGGACCTGCTTTTCCAGCTTCAGGGCAGGATATGGCATCCTCGCCCCGACATTTGGAAGCTGTACGTTTGGCCTATCAGAGGCCGTTAGCTTTCAGCTTTGATCTCCCAACCGACGTTCAGGAGACCATTGCGAGTGCTAGAGCCCCTTCTACGAGGAGGCTGTATTCCTC